GAATCCTGCTGCTCTGCTAGATAAAACTAGCATTGTGCCACTATGGCCTTCCAGGAAGACAAGAGGAAATATCAGTGAAGCTCCAGGGATATGGAGATGCAGGGGCTATTGGGTCTCATAGCAGGTTACAGTCTGGTGGGGGCTGGCCTCTCAAAATGGCACCATGCTGCAGCTGCTTAGGGCTTGGGGAGGGGTGGACCCCTGTGTGAGCTCCCTCTCTGGAGAAATGCTGTTCATGGTCCCCAGGCAGCTCCTTATGCTGGTCTCAGGGCCCAAAAAGACCATGGGGCTCTCCCATGGCTAGGCTTGCAGGAATCTATGATATTGCTTACCCTTTCTCCACACTGGGGATTATCTTTGGACTCTCAGATGATCCTGGGCTAATTGGCTGCCTCACTTCCTTCTCCTTCCATGCCTCAGGTCTTTCTTGTCATTTCTCTATTGAATTCTAGTGTTCTCTCTTAGATGCTCTATTTGAAGTATGATTATCTACTTGCTATTTTGGTTCTTTATGGAGGAGATGAAAGCTGGATGCTTTTAGTTAGCCATCTTGAAGACTCTTCCATCTGTAAATTTATAACAAACAATTTAAATAAAGCTCAAAGTTCCCCTTGACCCCACCCCATCCTGCTCTCCAGTGCTTAAAACTTCTTTTTTGAATCTATGTGCCTTTAGGAGGATATTGTCTAGTTCACTGTGATCTCCACCTACTGTTTCACTCCTAGTCCCACTGCAATCCACCGTATCAACTAGCTGGCCCTAAGTTCATTTGCATTAGAGAAAAAGCACTGTACTTGGAATCATTCATTAGACATCTCCTACCTGAATGAACCTTAAGACATTAAGGTTAGCCACTAAGACATTGAGCTTTACTTTGTTCATCTTTAAACCCTATGCTTCTCACACAGAGATTGTCATGGGAATCAAAGCAAATAATGTCAGTGAATCCACCTGACTAGCCATGCTTCCTGAGCAAAAGATATCCTAAGAAAGAGAAAATATATTTTACAGCAACCTAGAAAATTTCTTAAGCCCATTGTCTGTGAAAATTAGTTTCAATTTCATTATAAATGACAGATTCCATTATAAACGATAACATGTATGTATAACACTTAGTCATTGCCAAGACAAGAGTGATTCACAATTTTAGTCACTGTTATTGATGGCTTAAATAATAAATAGTAATAGTCAATCCTTGTTTATTTTGTATGTTTTTAAATATCCTAGGTAAAATCGATACTACCACAACTTAAATTATGTTTGTCCTACAGCTTGAAATACTTTCCAACACCCTACAAAACATTAAACAAACATGAAATGTTATTATTACCTGTCTTTCAAGACCCAGCTAAAGAATTCCTTCATAAAAAGTTATTTCACCACCCCAATCTAAAACTATCCCACTGAATTTCAGTAGTGGATCTTTCTCTCTGGTTTTCTTGGCCATTATATGTACACATGGGCTTGTATTGCTTCTATTGTTGTCACACTGTTATTTAAATATTTGTAGAACTGAGATTCTAGTCTTTAATTGTTCATGCATTTATCTCATCTCTCCTCAACTTGATTATAGGCATCCTTATGTCACAGGCCACGTTCTCTGCCATACTTTGCAACACATCACATACATAGTAGGGACACGGTAAGTGTCTTTGATTCCATTTAAAGAGAGTGTTACATCCTAGTAGTATCGTAAGAATGTGCCTCTTAAAACTCCTCATATATAACCTTGTCCCTTCTGGAATGTAACCAGAGAATAGCTTTGAAGTGGGATTATGGTGTGTTTCTTTCTTACTTGTTTCTAGGAATGAAAGACCTTGTTTTCTACCCTGGCAAAGTAAGGTGATTTGAATTTCTCTAATGCCAAATTCAGTATATGTTGTTTTTTGTACTGAAGGTCATGTGTTGAAATGTAAAAGTATCTGTTGGCAATAATTATTTAAGTAGACTATTCCAATCTTAAAAACATAGCCTTGTGTTTAAAATTAATTTTATTTGTCTATGGTTGCAACTTAAAACAGTTTTCCTTATATACACTATAAAATGTTAATAGCTACATATAGAGTGCCTTTACGACTGTAGTGTCATTTTTCTCAGCTTGATCAGCTCTTTTGAATGGCATCATTATGATCAAAGTTGTTTACAGTAATAAAATATGAATAGTTTCGATAAAAAAGTAGGCGTCATTACAATTAAAAAGTATCTGGCATTTTAGAATGTGATAACCACTCATAATACTGTCGTAGGATAAGCAATTCTAAAATAGAAACATAATTAGAAGAATGACCTAAACAAGTCTTTGAAGCACAAAAAGGAATATGAATTGAGGGAGGTGTAGTGCTGCATAGCTAGGGATTTGCAGAATATTTAACACACTTGCATTGTTTCAAAGAAATTGTGAAAAGTTAAACATTTCATTCATACTTGTACCCTTCATCTAGTTCTACCTGCAAAGAACAAGCAAATCTTAAAATTAGGACAACATGCCAAATGTTTCAATGAAACTTGGGGTTTAGTACTTTGTCTGATAAGGTATGCTGCAAAAAATAGCATATTCATACTTGTGGGGATATTTATTCAATTATATTCCATTGCTATTAAAAAATATAACGAGATGTATACAATAACTCTGCAATCTTTCTTTACACCATGAACTAACACCTCTCTAATTGATAACATTTTCTTCATCCAGGCACTGATATTTAGGTTTCTGTTTCTTTACCTTTTTCTTAAGATCAGTTTACTTCTGGTTCATGCATACGCTCATACCATCAGAGGTGTGGCAGGCAAGAGAAATTTAATAAAAGTCTAGGTCAGTTAATGTTGCTACTGCTTTGAGTCTCTGAAAACAGGTTTGGAGAAGGTAAATGATGGTAGACTATTTTTTAGGGGGAAATAAATTACTGGTTTTAGCAATTTTATAAGGGTGATTGTCTTCATAATGTTTATAGTAAGTAAAGTTGTGAGGGCTAACACAGAGGCAGCTGAGTACAATGACTATTTTGACTCCCTTACTGAATAAGAGAAATAGGCAATTGTTGACATAATTCCTGATGCACGCAGTAATTAGGAACCTGTGTACAAATAAGTAAAATAATTGTCAAACAATACTTAAACATGTTGTATGTATGATAATAATACTAAAATGTAACTCAATATATATAATCCCCATACTAATTCATTATTTTTGGTGAATAATGAAGACTTTTTCTCATGCCAGACGTTTAATACTGACATCTATCTCTACCTCCCTTTTGGAAAACATACCCCACTCCTTTTTCATAAGAGTGGATGTTACCCTTTTTTCCATGATGCTCTCTGTCAGACACTGCTTTCCTGTAGCAGTACATTGGCTCTAGACTGACTTATTCAATAAAATAAATTATGTAATATTAAATATGTATATAATTATCTTCTTTAACTGTATAAAAACCTAGACTAAATTTTGAAATTGCCTCTTCTAGGTACCTCATTATGCTTTTAGATAACCTAAAAGTCTATCAAAAGGGGACTAGCTAAAGAAATTATGGATGCATGTAATGGAATATGTTGCTGTTAAAAAGAATGAGGTAATTCTGTATGAACTGACAATAAAATGTTATGTTACCATGAAGTGAAATATTTTAAGTTAAAAAAGAAAATTATATAACATACATAAGGTATTGTGCCATTTTTTCATAAAAATACATATATTATGTATTCTAGAAAAATGTCCCCAAAATATATATCTTCCTTGGGGGAGGAAAACATTCACTGTTTATTTGTATTATTTTAATTATCATGGTGAGCATTTTAAAAACAGTTTTATGGTACAAAGATCAGGGAGGATCTCAGAAAATTTCTATCAAACTTTAAGGAAAACAGCATTCCTTTATTGTTGGCTTGTTTATAAACAAAGAAACCATGGGAAAATCCTCAGTTTGTTATGATAAAATGTTTTCTTTCAATATTTGCTATCTTTTTTTATTTCCTACTTAGAAATTATGTATTCATATTTTTAAATTATCTATTGGAACATAAAATTGATGAAACAGAAACCTATACTGGCTTAGATATCCCAACCTGAGCCTTTGATCAGTGTGTGGCATTGCGTGGTCTCTGGAACTGACTCAGCATGGATGAGCAATTGCAGCCTCCTGTTTAACAGTTGTTTGACTCTCCCATTGGACAAAGTTGAGAAATCACACAGTTGTGATTGCTGCTGGCAGCTACTGCATAACCCCAAGGGAACTAGCCTTTAGAGGAAGCTTACTCTGAGGTTGCAGGGGAGAGAGACAGAGAGAAATTAGGCATTTGTTGACATCATTGAGCTGATGGATAGACCAGCACTGAAATCTTTCCTACCCTGTATTTTCAGGAATAGGATCCAGTAAATGTCCTTTATTCTTTAATTCCCTTTGAGTCGGTTTTTGTGTTAGTTGCAACTGAAGTCATTTCATTAATATATTTTTCTTAAGTAAATAAGAATGTAGACAAGGATTTGTGCACAATAATTATTATCACAAATACTTAATATTTTACTTTAATAAGTAAAAAACAAATGATCTAAATGTTAAATATTAGGAAAACAAGTACAGGGATTATGGTTGACTGATATGATAGAATATTATGTAGCTATTAAAACTGATGTTTTCAAAAAATTTTTAATTAACAAGTTCCTTCACAATCCAGCTTCTGTCACCTCCCTGGCCTTGTATCTCTGGGCTCCCTGGTAACACTCACATGTTCTCTACTCACATTGCACTACTTGTGTGATTTTCTCTGCATAGGAAGGCCCTGAGTTCTCCCAACTTGTAGCTTCATCCTACTCACCCTTTAAAGTTAAGCTCAGGCATAACTCCTCCAGGAAGCCTTCTCATAATTTTTTTTCTTGCTCCCCAAGTTCATGCCAGCCCTTCCCCTATGTGCCTGCAATAACAGTAGTTATTTCTGTAACTGGTGGTGTTTTAACTATCTCTTTATGTCCTTCTTTCCCATTAGACTGTGAGCTCTTTGAAGACAGACTAATGCTTCTTTTTTCTTTCTTTTTTTTTTATTTTTAACAGGGGCCCTGCTAATCTTCTCCATGTCGTTCCAATTTTAGTAATGTGCTGCCGAAGCGAGCACGACTAACTGCTTCTTATTGGTCTGTGTATTCCCAATGCCTCGTCAAAGTTGTGGCAGAGAATAGCTGCTTTACAAATATATGTGGACTGCATGCATAGGTAGTTAGATGAATACATGAATGAATTTTCCCCAGGGATATATCAAGAATGTAGGATGGGCAGCTTCGAGAATTTTTAACTTTTTGTGTGTTTTGCATGGAAATCGGAAAATTTTGTGATAAATAAGTTCTGGAGATATACTATACACCCGGAACAGCATAGTGCCTATAGCTAAGAATACTGAATTGTATAGTCACAATTTTCTAAGAGGGTAGAACTTGTCTTAAATGTTTTTATCAAAACAGAACAGCAATAATAATCAAGGTGGGGTAGAAGACTTTGGAAGGTGATAGATATGTCTGCAGCCTTGATGCTATTGATGGTTTCCTGGGTAGATACTTACCCCCAAACTCATCAAGATGTATATATTAAATATGCACAGCTTTTATATGCCAATTATTCCTCAATAAAGTGGTTTATAAAATAAAGGAAGGAGTGGTAAAGAAAAATATTGCTTCTCCTGTTTAGTTTCTAATATTATAAGATATTATCAATGAGCTTGTAATGGCTGGCTAAATGATAAGACTATTTTTTGAGACTTCCTGGAAGATTACAGCTTTATTTCCTATTTTTCTTCTGTTTACACGGCAATGACTAATCAAGACAAACCTTCTGCCTAGCTCCCTTGCTCTTATACACAGATATTTATTTATTTACCAAATAATTATTGAGCACCTAGAATATGCTAGACACTGGGCTATAGAGATCTGTGCCCATTCCCATGAGATTAACAGTTTAAGTAGGCAGATTGTCTTTAAATACAACCCAATAAATTATCTATTCAATTGAAGATACTGATTTTCCATTGAAGAGAGGTGCAATTCTCTTCACCTTCAGGTGGAAAAAGAAAGCAGCTGGCTATTTATGCCAAAAATAAGACTAGACTTTAAAAAACCCATCTTTTAAACTCTTTCCATAAAAATTTATTAAACAACATTTATTAACAAATGTTTATAATTCAGACAGTTGAAGATAAGTCCCATACTGTTACTGTCTCATGAAAAATTAAATTGAATTACTCTTTTGATTAATTCTAAAAGCTTCAGTTTAAGGTTACTGAAGTCTGACAGGAAAATTGAAGCCATGATTGATTTACATGACACACTTTTAGTGGAAAATACTGTAAAACATTGCCACATTGCCAAGTACTTTGACATCTTAAAAGATGAACCCAGATGAGATGTACCAGGCTTGTGGGGCAGGGCAAAGGTGTTCACAGTAACCTTCACCTCAGACAACCCACCTCCTGAGGTGCCCTGGTTAGGTCATGTGCTTTCACTTTCCTAACGGGTATCTCTTGGAAGAGCAGAAAGACCAGGCAGAAGTGTTCTCCTATCATACAATGTTAATATTAAGCTTTATACAAAAGACTTAAACCAGCATGAAGAATATAAGATGAATTCTGAATCTGTACATCACATAAGGCTGGCTAAATCCCTTTTTTCTGCCCTGCTTTGAGGACAGATAGTATGTATTAGTCATTTCTGTATTCATACTGCCAGCAGAGTAGACTGTATGCAGTAGGCATTCCCAGAAATTGCTGAATGAAATATTAATGGTGATTATATGTATATAGTGGGATTATCTATGAGTGTTCTTTTCTCCTTTGCACTCTTTAGTCTTCTCATTTTCTACAATGGTGATGTACTGGTGTGGTTATTTTCATAAATTCACTGTCAATGGAAAAGAAAGGAGGAGGGAAGAGTTTATTCAGATATTGGGAACCTCTTTGTCCTCTTCTGTAATTCAGCATGCCCCTAATAATTGATGTATTTGCTGTACGTGGCCAAGAAGGTTAAACAGGTCTCCCCACTCTAGCCTTTCAGATGTATAGCATACCTGACTTTCCTTTTTCTCCAGGTATCAGAATTTTTATTCTAATATCAACCTATGCAAAATACGAACTCACAGGAAGGTTACAGTGAAGAAAGCTAAGTGTCTAGTCAGTTTGAAGGATAGGGTACCCGAAAATTCTTCTGGCTAACCTTGTGTTTCAAGGTGGTGGCAATGAGTAACTTGAGTATGGGGTGATTTTTAACTTCCCTATAATTTCCATCACTTCAAATATATTTAAGTAAAAATCATTCCCTTTGCTAATGCTAATTCAAGACGAATCTCTTCATCCCTTACTAGAAAGATTGCTATTCTCTTGCCACTCCTCTACAGATGATCTGTAGCTACCAGCATAGATAATGTTATCTGTATCTTTACTTTATTTTATTAATATTTTATCTTATGTTATTTTTAGAGAAAAGGTCTCTTTCTGTCACTCTGACTGGAGTCCAGTAGCACAATCATGATTCACTACAGCCTTGACCTCCTGGCCTCACATGATCCTCCTGCCTCAGGCTCCTGAGTAGCTGGGACTACAGGTGTGCACCATCATGACTGGTTAATTTTTTGATTTTTTGTAAATATGGGGTTTTGCTATGTTGCTTGGCTTGGTCTCAAACTCCTGGCCTCCAGCAATCCTTTGGACTCAGGCTTCCAAAATGCTGGGATTACTGGTGTGAGTCACCATGCCTGGTCTATTATCTTTATTTTTAGATGAGGAATAAATAAGTAAATCACTCAGGGACAATGGCTAGTGAGAGGCAGAGCTCAGAAGACAGCACTTGTCTTCTTTACTCCCAAGTCTGTCCTTTTCTTACTATATACCATGTTGCCAGAATTTCATAAGGCCACAAAATGAGATATAGAATCACAGGTTTAGAATTTATAGTATGGAGACTCTATAAGCTTTATTACTTAGACAATATAAGCAAAATGATAACAATTCAGGTTTTAATTACTAAATTCTCCTCCTCACTAGGGGATTTAGTGAGCCATCTGCAGCTAAAATAAGTATTTCTGTTTTCCCTAGCTTGAGCTCTCTTTCAGGTTGTTCATCTGTTTTGTTTGTTTGTTTGTTTGCTTTTCACATTAACTGATCTTCCACGATCCATGCTATTCACATATTAATGATCTCTATGTTACAATGGCTATTTTCTTATTTTACAGCTTAAATTTTAATTGCAAAAAAAGATTTATTCATTTATTATTGCTCTGGAAGTGACTAAAGGCCCTCATTTTTGCTTTAATATTAATCAGCCATATTTCTCTCTCTCTAACTAGCTCTGCTATTACTAGCTAATATATAGATCCATGTAATTCCAAGACATAGAAAGATATACGTGACTTCAATTTGCTTACTTCAAATGGCTTATCTTGAAAATTAAATATCTGTATTTAAACCATTTCTGATCTTCTTTTCTCTGTGTCTGAAAGGAAAAATGTGTATAATCCCTGACCTTTTGAAAGAGTGAGAATAGTTAGAATCTGAGAGAGGATTCCCACCTTGGAGTTGAGTTCATTTACCATTATCCCCAATATGAAAACCTTATATTCCTACCCTGACCACAACACTTGAGTATGTACTGTCTCTAGCTCATGAAATAAACAGGATTCTTACATAGAAAACTTTATGTCATACCCGTGCCACTGTTCTTTGTACCCCTCTTCACACATTACCACCATTAATTTCTTCCTTAGAGCCATCTTCCTGCCTCAGTAGATTTGATCAGGAAAAACAATCCTAGGGTTTCATCTTGAAGACTACTTCTCTGTTCTACACACATACCTGTGTGTGTATCAGAGATCACAGTGCAGTGAGGTGCATGTGGGCTCTAGATACAAATTGGTTTGAACCATGGCTCTAAAATCTACTAAGCATATTTTGAAAGTTTAACCAAATAGTATTTATATGTGTGTGTAACTATAGGAAGAAAGAGAAAAGATGAAATATTGGCCCCTAAAACTGATTTAAGCTGTTAGGAAACCAAGATTTTTTTTTATTCTATTCATTTATTCTTTCTCCTTGTTGATGAAAGAAGTGATTTTTCCCATTACATAGAGAATTAAAATTTTAAATAAAGGAAATGTGAGGCTTACCTTTTTCTTTGATGAAAGCTCATTTTGAAGATGAAAATTTTACTTTTCTTTGGTCCTTCATGGTATCTTGTAAAAGGAAGACTCTACTCCAGGTAGAAAAGAGATGCATGTAAATAAATCTGAAACAGTGATAATTTAATACTGAATATTTATTAAAATAAGTTTTGTTCTCCTGCTTAGTTTTAATTATGTTCTTAATAAAGTAATACAGAAAATATTTAACAAAGTATGCTATGCATCTCATTCATTAACAGATATTTAATCCATATAAGCTCCAATAAAACAACTTTTTGGCTTTGTATGAAGGTCACTTATTATTTTATTTATGTATGTATATGTATAATAGCTTAAATTAAGTGTAATTTACATACCATAAAATTCATCCATTTTAAGTGTACAATTCAATAATTTTTAGTAAATTTACAAAATTGTGCAACCATTACCACAATCTAGTTTTAAAAGATATTCATTGCCCAAAAAGCTCTTTCATGCCCATTTGCAGTTGCCCTCTTTTTCCATTCACAGCCCCAGTAGCAATTTTAAGGAAAGAAAAATCTCTTAAAAATGGTCCAGCTCTCCTCCATTATATCTCTATCCTAGGTCAGCAGATAAAGGAACTAAAATTAACAGTTAAAAACCAAAATTTACCTCAAGGCAAGCTAGGGTATAGAGTTCAGTGCTTCCCCCAAATTTAGTTATTTGTTTCTTTTATTTATTTACTTATTTGCTTGGTTTCATGAAAATAGCACTGTTTAGGTCTAAAATATGAAAATATGTTGGAAAAATATCTAAAAAGTGGAACCAGAAAGTTACTGAGGCTGTTTCTGCCTACCTCTAATTTAAAGGCAATAAAAATACACTTAAAATATTTTTTTCAATATAATTAAAATGTATAGGGCTATTAAAAGAAATCTGTCTTAAAGTTTTTTCCAGTTTATTAATTTTTATTTAAAATTTTCTTTCTGAATAGA